ATCCCAGAATTCCCTGATGACCCCGGATAATCCCAGAATTCCCGGATGACCCCAGATGATCCCAGAATTCCAGAATTCCCGAATTCCCTGACCTTGGCGGTGTCGCTGACGAATTCCAGGCGCTGCTCCGGGCTCAGCCCCTCGGGATAACGCAGCCCGATGGTCTCAGCTGTGTCAAAGCGGCTCTGGAAATACCTGGGAATGGGAAACAATGGGAATAAATGGGAATGGGAATGGGAAAGGGAAAAACGGGAATGGAAAAAATGGGAATGGGAAAAACGGGAAAAAATGGGAAAAATGGGAATGGGGAAAATGGGAAAAAGGGGAATGGGAAAAAATGGGAATGGGAAAGAGAAAAAGGGGAATGGGAATGGGAATGGGAAAAACGGGAATGGGAATGGGAAAGGGAATGGGAACGGGAAAAATGGGAATGGGAAAAATGGGAATGGGAAAAATGGGAATGGGAAAAACGGGAAAAAACGGGAAAAAAATGGGAATGGGGAACATGGGAAAAATGGGAATGGGAAAAAATGGGAATGGGAAAAACGGGGAAAATGGGAAAAATGGGAATGGGAAAAACGGGAAAAATGGGAATGGGAATGGGAAAGATGGGAATGGCAAAAATGGGAATGGGATCGGGAAAAAATGGGAATGGGAAAAAATGGAAATGGGAAAAATGGGAATGGGAACGGGATTGGGAACAGGCAGGGGAGCCCCTCGGGGCTGGGGATTTAACCCGAAATTGGGAATTTGATCCCAAAATTCTGAGGAATTTAACCCCGGAATTCCATGGATTTGATCCCAAAATGGAGAATTTAACCCCCAAATTCCCAGGAATTCAAACCSAAAATTTCCAGGAATTTCCGATCCCTGGGAAAGGGAGGGTTTGGAATTTTGGGCCCTTCCCAAAGCTTTTCCTGAGGGATTTTCCAGGCTCTGGTTGGAAATGGGACAATTTCCGGGATTTTGGGATGGAAATTGGACAAATCCCAGGATTTTGGGATGGAAATTGGACAATTTCCAGGATTTTGGGGTCAGGAATGGGACAATTCCCAGAATTTTCGGAAAAAGGTAAATCCCAACCCCCCTTTCCCAAATTCCCGGAGCAGAAAATTCCGATAAAAACCTGGCTCGGGGTTGTGTGAGGCCAACCCGAACAAAAACCGCTGGAATTCAGCGGAAAACATCCCAAAAATAATCCCAAAAAAATCCCCCGGGAGCGACGTCCGGAATTGCAGCTGCGGCCCCGGAAAAAAAAATCCAAAAAAAATCCTGGATTTGTGTCGGCTGTCGGAGCGATTCCCTCGCGCTTCTCCGAGCATTCCGGGCTTTTCCAGAATTTCTGGATTTTCCAGGATTTTCTGGGGGTTTTACTGGAATTTTGCCAGGATTTGATGGGGTTTTGAAAGGGTTTTGCCGGGATTTTGTTGGGATTTTTCATGGGATTTCCTCAGGATTTTCCCGGGATTTTTTTGGGATTTTCTGAGGATTTTCCCATGGTTTTCCAGTGATTTCCCTGTGATTTTCCTGAGGTTTCTCAAGGATCTTCCCCCGTGATTTTCCTTGGCTTTTCCTGGGATTTTCCTGATTTTGCCAAGATTTCCCCCACAATTTCCCTGTAATTTCCCCATGATTTTCACAGGATTTCCCCATCATTTCCCTGTCACTTCCCCACAATTTCCCCATCATTTCCCCGTGATTTCCCTGCAATTTTCCGTTTTTTTCCCATAATTTCCCCATCATTTCCCATTTATTTCCCCATCATTTCCCCAAGATTTCCCCATGATTTCCCTATGGATTCCCTGTGATTTCCCTGCAATTTCCTGGTTTTTCCCCATCATTTCCCATTTATTTCCCCATCATTTCCCCCCCATTTCCCCATCATTTCCCCATGATTTCCCTGCAATTTTCTGGGTTTTTTTCTCATCATTTCCCCATCATTTCCCCATGATTTCCCTGCAATTTTCCTGTTTTTCCCCCATCATTTCCCTGAAATTTCCCCGTGATTTCCCCCATGATTTCCCCATCATTTCCCTGTGATGTCCCCCCATTTCCCTTGATTTCCCCATAATTTCCCCATCATTTCTCTGCGATTTCTCCGTGATTTCCCCATCATTTCCCTGCAATTTTCTGGGTTTTTTCCCATAATTTCCCCATCACTTCCCTGTGATTTTCTGTTTTTTCTCCATCATTTCCCCATAATTTCCCCGTGATTTTCTGGTTTTTTTTCCCATTATT